GTTGGAGTCTCACTCTGTCAACCAGACTGGAGTGCAGTGGCCGCTCCCAGCCATTGCAGTCTTGACCTGCTGGGCTCCGGCGATCCTTCTACCTCAGCCTTCCGAGTAGCCGGAATTACAGGTGTGCACTACCACATCCGGCTAATTTTTAATTTATTGTAGAGATGAGGCCTCGCCAATTTGCCCAGGTGGGTCTCGAACCCGCGGGCTCAGGCCATCCACTCACCTTGGCCTCCCAAAGCACTGGGATTACAGGCTGAGCCACCGAGCCCGGCCCAGAGTAGTATTCTAGGATACACAAGCAGCAATTTGTTTAACCATTCACTTACTAAAGGATATCTAGGCTGATTCCAACTTGGGGTTCATATAAATAAAACTGTTATGAATATTTGTGTACAGATTTTTGGTTGAATATAAAAGTTTTTGTTTTTGACCCAGGAATACAATTGCTGGGTCATATGGTAGTTGCATGTTTAGTTTTTTAAAGAAACTGCCAAACTATTTTTCAGAGTGGCTGTACCATTTTACATTCTCAACAGCAATGCGTGAATGATCCAATTTTTCTGTATTCTCACCAACATCTGGTGTTGTCTCTATTTTTAATTTTAGTCATTCTGATAGATGTGCAGCAGTATCTCATTGTGGTTTTAATTTGCATTTCCATGATGTTTAATGATGTTGAACATCTTTTCATGTGTTATTTGCCATCTGTATATCCTCTTCAGTGAAACGTTTTCGTGTCATTTGCCCATTTTCTCATTAGATTGTTTGTTATTTTACTATTGAATTGTGAGAGTTCTAGATGCTAGCCCTTTGTTGGATATATAGTTTGTAAATATTTTCTCTCAGTCGGTAGCTTGTCTTTAATCCTCTTCACATAGACCTTTACAGAGCAAAACATTTAAAACTTTTGATGAGGTCCAATTTATCAATTTTTTCTTTTGTGGCTCTTGCTTTGGGTGTTAAGTCTAAGAACTCTTTGACTAGCTCTAGATTCTGAAGATTTTGTCCTATGTTGTTTTCTAAAAAGGCCCTGGAGCCAGGGACTGTGGCTTATGCCTATAATCCAAGCTACTCAGCAGGCTGCAGTGGAATGACACTTGAGGCCAGGAATTCAAGATTAGCCTGGGCACCATAGTGAGACCCCATCTCTAAAAATATTTTAAAAAATTAGCCAGGCATGGCATGTACCTGAAGTCCCAGCTACTTAAGAGGTGAGAGGGGTTCGAAACGCGCCTGGGCAGCGAGACCTCATCTCTATAATAAATCAGAAAATCAGCCGGGCGTGGTAGCACATGCCTGTAATTCCGGCTACTTGGAAGGCTGAGGCGGAAGGATCGCTGGAGCCCAGCAAGTCGAGGCTGCGGCGGCCGGGAGTGGCCACTGCACTCCAGTCTGGGCGACAGAGCGAGACTCCAACTCAAAAAAAAAAAAAGAGGTGAGAGGATGGCTTGAACCAGGAGTTCAAGGTTGTAAGCTATGATTGACTGGGCAACAGAGTGAGACTCTGTCTTAAAAATTAATTAAATAAAATCTAAAAAATAAAGGGCCCTGAGCTTTTGTTTTTGCTGTGTTTTTGAGTCATTCTGTCACCCAGGCTGGAGTACAGTAGCATGATCACGGCTCACCACAGCCATGACCTTTTGGGCTCAGGTGACCATTCTACTTCAGCTTCCCGAGTAGCTGGGACTACAGGCATATACCACCATATCTGGATCATTTTTTATTTTTTGTAAAGACAGGGTCTCCTTATGTTACACAGGCTGATCTTGAACGCCTAAGCTCAAGCAATCCTCCCACTTCATCCCCCCAAAGTGCTGGGATTACAGGTGTGAGCCTCCATGCCCAACCAGGCTCTGGATTTGTTTTTTGTTTTTTGAGTTGGAGTCTCACTCCATCACCCAGGCTAGAGTGCGGTGGCATGCTCACAGCCACCCCAGCGTTGACCTGATGGGCTCTGGCAATCCTTCCACCTCAGCCTTCCAAGTAGCTGGAACTACAGGCACACTATCATGCCTGGCTAATTTTTGATTTATTGTAAAGACGAGGTCTCGCCAAGTTGCCAGGGCTGGTCTCAAACCCACAGGCTCAGGCAATCCACTCGCCTCGGCCTCCCAAAGTGCTGGGATGACAGGCTGAGCTACCGAGCCCAGCCTGGCAATTAGTTTTTAATGCCCATCACGTTAGCTTGCGTTATGAAAAATGAAAGGTAAGGCCAGCCAGTTACCCACCTTCTTGGAATTTTCATTCTGTTTAGAGACTATCATCAGACTATCTAAGGCAGGAAGCCCTAAAACGGAAGCCTGGTAAAGACACATACAAGCTGGGCTCGGTGGCTCAGCCTGTAATCCCAGCATTTTGGGAGGCTGAGGTGAGTGGATTGCCTGAGCCCATGGGTTCGAGACCCACCTGTGCAACTTGGCGAGACCTCATCTCTACAATAAATAAAAAATTAGCCGGGCGTGGTAGCGCGCGTCCGTAGTTCCAGCTTTGGAAGGCTGAGGCGGAAAGGATCGCTGGAGCCCAGCAGGTCGAGGCCGGGAGCGGCCACTGCATTCCAGTCTGGGTGACAGAGTGAGACTCCAACTCAAAAAAAAAAAAAAGACACATACAACAGGCTGTATGTGTCTGGTTCTGGATTCTGGTTCCGGAATCTGGGATGGAGCCAGCTCCTGCATTTTATCCGGGAATCTGCTGTCAGCCACTGCTCATATTCCCAACCCAGTGAACTTCAACTTACCAGATCATGCCACTTCTGGTCTGCTGCAGGAGAAGCTAAGTTGCTAGGGAGGGGACGGCTCTGGGGGCAGAGGTCAGGTACAAAGGCAAGGAGATGGTTTTAGAGAGATTCCTACAGAGTCTGGAGGCCTACGAGGTGGTCTTCCTCTGCCTGGGAATAGGGCAAGGCTCTCTGACCCCAACTGAGTCAAAGCAAAAGCCCTAGAGCCAAAGCCTTCTGTGCCTGTTCATTGATTTAACAACAAACATTTATTGAGCACGGTGCCAGGCATTGTTCTCAGTGCTGGAGTTACAAATGTGAGCAAAACAGACAACAAACTTTGCCCACAAGAATCTTATGTTCTAATGAGGGACATCAGATGATAGGTAACTTCATAACATATAATCATATAGTATGTTAGCAAGCAAAAAATGCAGAGTTGGGGTGATGGGACCACTGGCACAATGTTCAAGGAAGGCCTCTCAACAGGGAGGTGAGAAGGGATCATATGGCCAGTGGAAGGAATAGGTGGTGCAAAGGCCTGAGATGGAAGAACCTGGTGTATCTGAGGCACAGTGGGGAGACCAGCATGGCTGGAGTTTAGCAGAAGTGCCAATATCATGTAGGTCTGACGGACCACTATGATGACTGGCTGTTAATAGCAGGATGAACTATTGTGGATTTTCAGCAAACAACATGTGATCTGATTTATGTTCAACAGAATTATTCTGGCTTATAACAGGACAATAGAATAGAGGGGCAAGCTTGAAAGCAGAAACACCAGGAGGGAAGCTCTTGCAACAATTCAGGCAAAATCACTTGAGCCCAGGAGTTTGAGACTCCATCTCAAAATAATAATAATAATTCAGGCAAGAGAGGAAGAAGGTTTGGACCAGAGAAAGCAGTGGGTATGCTGAGGAATCATCTGATCCTGGGTACATTTTGATGGAAGTATCAACAAGATTTCCTGGCACATTCGATGTTGTATATGAGAAAAGAATCAAAGGGACTCGAGGTGTTTGGCAGGATCTATCTGCCATGACCTGAGCTGGGGGAGGCTGCAGATGGGAGTGAATTTAGAGGATGATGTAAAGCTCAGTTATGTGTTTGGAAATGCCCCATCAGCGTTTACATGGAGATGTGGATTATGCAGTTGCTACTAAGTCCAGGTTCAGGAGAGAGAGCTCGAGCTCAAGACAGAAATTTTGTTTCCAGATAGCATTTAGGGCCAAGAGCTTAAGTATGCTGATGATAAGTGTGGATGGAGGGGGAGAAGAGGACGAAAGTCCTGGGCAATCTGGAGTTAAAGGGCCCAATGTGAAACCCAACCACTGCTCCACTGATGGCAGGATGTCCAGGCAAATGCTTCAGCACTCTCTTTAATCAGTGGTCTCAGAGGCACTGCTTCAGGACAAGTCCCAGGATGATATATCCTAGTAGTGAAGTGTTGCCTCCTAGTAGTGAAGTGTTGCCTCTGCCCTTTCAGTTAGTTGGCAGTTTAGCAGGGACAGTGGCTCCTGGCAACTTCTCTCCATTATGTGCCCTGAGGTAATATCTGGGCGGGGTAGGGGTGGGGGGAGATAGGCATCATTTCTCCCATTCACCTTCTTTCTGTCTTTCAAGGAGCCTGCACAACAACACTTCTTCTCCAAGCATGACAATCGCACTTCCTTCGACAAAGTGAGTACTGAGGAGAGGAAGAAGAGCGGGCAGTCCCCCAGCCTATGTTGAAGTCAGGACAGAACAGGCGGGGTAGGGTGGAGGAGATAAGAAACTAAGGGAGGTCTTCTTATGTAGGCAGAGGAGTGCCTATCTTCCCCACAAGCTTCCTCCTCTGTGAAACATCCCATTCCCCAAACAGAAGCATCCTGCACTGGTTTCCTCCGCTAGCTTGCCTGACAATGTGTGAATATCATGTGAACCACTGCCTTTCTTGGGTGCTTCATCCTAGAATAGAAGGCATTGCTGGGGAGGCAGGCCAAGGAGGCCAGGCACAAGACAGGTATCACCAAGCAGCCTTGGGGTAGGAGGGCCCAAGAAGGTGCTTGGTACCAGGACTGTGGGCCAAGGGCCCTGTATTGTTGAGGAGGGCCCCTACTGCCTGCTGCAGGGAATCGGAAGGCGGAAAGACCTGGAGCGCCTGTGGCAGCGGCATACCTTCCTGCGCTGGGCACCCTGTGAGATGGAGTTGTGCCAACACGGGCCCCTCGAATCTTCCTACCAGACTGATTTCCGGCCAGGCCCAGGACTCAGTGGCCTCCCCCAGCGCCTTGTCCACTTTGTGCAGGTCCAGCCTCCCCATGCCAACACCACCTACCAGCAGAACTTCTGCCCACCAACCCGGGGTGGCCATTGTGGCAATCCAAAGGTAGGGACCAAGCCACCAGTCACTAACATACTGCCTGACCTCCCAGGGATCCCAAGACCCAAGATGCTACAACACTACCTTCATGCTGGGGTCTCTGAGTGTCTAAACTGGTCCAGAGCATTAAATAAGGACAGCTGACACAGCAGCATGTCTGTACTTGCAGCCCAAGAAGTCTCAAAGGTCAGACAACAGTGATGCACTGCCAGGCTCCATGTCTGACTTCCAAGACACTTGTGCCCATGGTGTCTGTGTGCTGGGCAGGGAAGGTGCCACCCTGGGAGCCCTGCCACCGAGTGAGAAAAAGTAAGGCCAGCAAGAGGCTAAGAGTCCAGGAGGGTTGCCATGACCAAAGCAGGTGGGTTCCAGGGCCCCAAACACTTCTCTGTTCTTGTAGCAAACCCAGATGTGAGCTTCCTGTACTCAGTATAGCTGCAGGGAAAGCAGAGCCAGTGGCCACTACTAGTGGGCAGCAAAGGCTGGAAAAGGCAAGGGTTGGCAGCTACCTCCAGGGGGCTGCTGCCTTAGAGGAGTTTGGTGGGTGGCCACAGTGCTGCCCAGGAGATGGGTGCCCCCCCAGCTGAGAGAGAGGGAGATGACCCTGGCCACAGAATCCACTGGCCCAACCTTCCCTTTAGGGGTAAGCAGAAACCTGAGGAGACACTGTGTAACTTGAATCTGGAGGCCATCCTAACCCTGTGGTGTTTTGCTGTTTTCTGAGCACTTCTTTGGTCATCATATATATATAATATATATATATAATATGTATATTATATATATAATATATATTATATATATATTATATATATATATATATATTTTTTTTTTTTTTTTGAGTTGGAGTCTCACTCCATCACCCAGGCTGCAGTGCAGTGGCACACTCATGGCCACCCCATTGTTGATCCTTCCATCTCAGTCTTCCAAGTAGCCAGAACTACAGGCACACACTACCACAACCGGCTAATTTTTTTGATTTATTGTAGAGACAGTCTTACCATGTTGCCCAGTCTGGTCTCGAACCCACAGGCTCAGGCAACCTCTTGCCTTGGCCTCTGAAGTGCTGGGATTACAGGCTTGAGTGACCACATCCAGCCTCTCTGGTCATTTTATTAACGTACCCAAACATCCAGGACAGTAGGGGAGGGGTGTCATCCCATGTCATCAAAGGAGAAGCTGAGGTTTAGATGGGGCTGAAACACAGATCATTTGGGGGGCAGAAATCACGTCCAGGAGGCTCTCTCTGGACTCTCACCCTGAGAGCACTGAGATCCCCAAAGGAGGGAAGGGGATGTGAAAGCAACATGGGAATTCACACCAGGGTTAATTCACCAGATTTTAGCAGCACTTTTACTTCCACATCCAAACTCCCTGGGTCCTCACAACAGCCCTGTGAGGTAGGTAGGGCAGGAAGGTTTCAGAAATCCCCATTTACAGATGAGGATGCTGAGGCACAGAGAGGTAAATGACTTGCCCAAGGTCATACAACCAACAGTGTAAAGGGCTCAAAGCCAGCATCCCTCAGGCCCTCTGGAGGTTTAAACATCCTCTCCACTCCCTCTGTGTCCCCCACCCTCTTTGAGCTCTCCTGGGTCTACAGGGACCCTCAAGGCAAGCTGGCAGCTGGGATTCTTCAGGAACAGCCACGGGGGTGGGCCTGGTCAACTCCAGATAGGCACTAACCTGAGGATGAGGCCAGTTCTCCCTTCTTCCCACTTCCCAGTTGGACAAATGGTCTAGTAGGTTCCAGGGCAAAGGAGCTTGGCATGGTCCATGAATAAATGGTGATAAAGGTAGGTGTGAGCATATTTGTGTCCTGCACTAAAGACTAAGGTCCTCCAATCCAAGTCCCCAAGGCAGTGTTTCAGGTACCCACCCCTGTGCCTCTCTCATCCCACAGAGCCACAATGAGTGTTGTCAGCAGCAAAAGGAGCCACAAACACTGCTTCTGGCAATAAGTTGCTCCAGAAGACAAGTCCCACCAGACCTTCAGACCCCATCACGAAGACACAGTGCCTCCACAGCTTGACTGGGGCCCTGGGCCACACCCCCAATAACAAATAGCCGAGGCCCAGCCTGTAGGCTAGAGCAGGAGCAGCGAGCAGTGGGCATGGCAGGCAGTGCCTCCCAGCGCCGCCGTGCAAGGCTGAAGCTCTCCACGGAGCCCAGAGGACACGGCTGGTTTCCTGCAGGAAGGAGACAGAAGGTTGTAAGAGGCACAGGCTGTAGGGGCTCCAGTCCCTTTTGCTCCCTGAGCCCAGGAAATGGCCCAATAGGTATCACCCCAGGATGAGCTATCAGTGCATTGCTCCTCATTGCCCCTGTTCATCATTCATTCATTCATGTTTTTATTTTTCACTTGGCTGTGCATTCAGTGGCCATTTGTCCTGTTTCTGTTTCCTAGGCCCCTGCTGGTGCAGAGGCCCCAGTCAGGCACTGGGGATACCCTGAGAGCTGGGCCAGGCAGACCACAGCTGCCTCTTCACAGATAGGGAAAAGGAGCTCACAAAGTTCTGACCCTGGAGTGCCTAGAGAAGAACAAAAGATGGTGCTCATGCTGAGGGCTACTCTTTCCTGACTTGGGCCCCCCTCCTCTCCCTAGCCCCACAGAGACTTACCGAGGCCCCCGATGGCCACAATATGGCCCCCAAGGGAGCCAACCACAAAATCAGCCCTCTTATCCTTCATGCGCAGGCTGCGAGGCAGCTTGGTCCAAGACCCTGTGGGAGAGGGGAGGTCAGATCTAGTCACATAGCCACTATGCCCTCCATCCCATGGAGAGTGGGAGGACATCCCAGGACAGCCACTGCTCACCATGCTCCAGGTTAAACATCTCCACAGTGTTGACAAAGTGTGGACGGGAGTAGAAATTGTGGGGCCCAGGCTGCTGCAGGCCACCCAAGCTAAAGACGCTGCCTTCGGTCATGACACAGCCAGCAAAGGCCCGACGGCTGGGCAGGCTTGGGTGCCGGGTCCAGGTACGGGCCTCCAGATCAAAGGCTTCAAAAGCAGTCACTGGAAGCTTGCCCTGGCGGCCTCCTGTCAATGGAATTGGGGCACCTAGCAGGGAGCCCAGGCGTCTTGGTGGGCTCACTCACCAGGTTGCTGATCTGCCTGCCCCAGCCTCCCACACCCAGCGGTGTGCATCTGCACATGAATCATCAACCCTATAGACCCTCAGGCACTAGAGTTTGATTTTCCAACTCCGGCAGGGCCACCAGAGGTCAGAGCCTCTCAGCAGGCCTGGATCACCCCAAGAAAGCTTCTCTTGTTCTGTCCTCCTGGACTGAACCTGATCCCTACCCCAGTCAACATATGAAGATGGGAACTTCTGGACTCTAGAGCCCCTTTCCCACATCCCCCAGGCCCTTACCCAGGACATAGATCTTGTTCCCGTGCAGGAAGGTGGAGGCCCCGTAGCAGGGTGTGGGCATGGAGGGTAGCGAAAACCAGCAGTCCCGGCGGGGCTCATATACCCGTACCTGGGCCTGGGGGGCCGTGTCGGGGCCCATTCCCCCCAGAGCATACACCATACCATCTGCATAGAAAAGAGTAGTTCAGACTGCACCCCAGCCTAACCAGGGCACCCCACCCTGACGGCTGCCCTGGTTAGGCCTGGGGGTGGCTGGAGACCCACTAACCGAAGTGTATTTGAGACACTACTTCCCGGCAGCAGAAAGCCTACTACCTGCCTGGAGTGGGGGCTGGAAGAGCTGGGATTCTCGCTCTGGCCAGGGCCCCTCTGAGTGAAGAGCAGGAGGCAGCTGATCTAATTATAATCAGTCTCTGTTTCCCTGGAGACACTATGGCAACGGAATCTGGCATCCAAGCAGGGCTGGCCTGGACCAGTGGGTGGTCAGATTTGGAGGCCACAAGGTAGGGGTTCCCCTGGTGGGAGGAAGATGGGGAGTGGCTTAAGCCAGGGGTGGGGAGCATATCAGGCTGCTGTTCATGGATTTCAATCTTGGGAGGGGGCTGCAGGGGCCAGTTGGGGGATACAGGTGGGGCTGGGAGAGGGGCTTGGGTCTGCATGGTAAAGATACTAGCCACAAGCCTTCTGCCTCAGGAGCCTCCCAGTACCTTTGTACTATACTTTCACTGTAATATGTTTTTGTCCTCTGTTAAATCCTCAGGGTTAGTTAGGGGTATGTCTGGGGGCCCTGGAGGGATGGGCTAGTCAGTTGGAGGCTTCCATGGCAACCATCCCCAGGTCAGTTTGGTTTTTGTCTACATCAGGCTCCCTGGTATATATGTAGAGGGGAATATAAACATTTGCCAGGCTCTAAGCCTTCTCCCCTACCCCCACCCCAGACTATTTATAACCCTGGAAGTCATTAGGCCACCCCACCCCTTGCCTCTCAGAAATTTAGAAATGAGGAGTTGGGCAGGGAGGTGGCTGGGGCCTCCCATCATCCTGGGAGTCAGCTTGGGCTCTGCCCCCTACCTCACAGTCTGAAAAGGCAGTTAATAGGAGGCTGCTGCAATATAGCTCAGAGCTAGGTCGGAGAAGATATAGGAGCAAGGCCATGTCCAAGGGACTCATGCAAAAATCACAGCTCTTGTCCAATCTCTGAGGGTAAGGGACTAAGGAGAGAATGGAGGGTGTTGAGGCACCTGGGGGGCCTTCCTTGGGAGGCCACTCACCTCTCTCCACAGTTGCAACCCCCATGGCTGCTTGAGGTAGGGTGGCCCGACGCTCCCAGCGGCCCTCATCAGCCAGGAAGGCCTCCACAGCAGCTACTGGGCTCTGGACTTCATCTACACCACCCACCACTAGCACCTGCTTGCCCAGAACCACAGCAGCTGCACCAGCTCGGGCAGTGGGCAGGGGCGCCAGTGCCAGCCATGTGTGTGAGGCCATGTCCAGTGTTTCAGCAGTGTCCAGGGGCAGTCCAGCCCGGCCACAGCCCCCCAACACCAGCAGGTGCCCATCTTGGTGCGCCACTGTGCCATATACCCGGCAAGTGGGCATGGGAGGGAACACCTGCCAAGCAAAGGCCTGGCCACCTCCTGCAGCCATGGTGTTCACTGCCAATGGCAGACCATGTTATCTGCTCAGGCTGCAGGCCTCACTGGGGAGGCATGATAGGGCCTCATCTTGATTCTGCCAGGGCCACAGGGGGATATATGACCAGTCCAGGGAC